TTTCCTTATTTACATATATGTGACTATTTGAGTGTGCAGTAATCTTGACACTTTAACTGATCTGTCTACATTAATGTTTGTATCAAGTTTGGGAACCGAGGTTCCCTGGAGGATCATGGATTTGCCAGAAACAGGATGTGGGTCATTGATGAACATTCTCCACCACTACACCCCAATGACTCTAGTGGAAAGACATTTATTGACTTGCTATTTAAACCCTCTAAGGATGATCTTAAAGTTTGGCCTCATGGGTATGACACAGGCTTAAAATTTTCTCCTTCCAGATTATTCAGCTTGACATTATATCTTAAGAAGACTTCTACAATATATCTTGATCATTAAATTGGTGAAAATTTTATCAGATTTGAATTTCGCCTTAGAGTTGCCATGACAGGTGATGGCTCACTCATTTTGATCTCCCGTGTGAGGAATGTCAACTGCAGGCCGTTTAGTTTCTCATTCGCCTTCCTCTCCTACTTTTCAGTATCTGATATCAGGTAACATTATGCTTATTATTTCCTGAAAAGGATTATAACTTCAATTGAACTTACATATTTAATTCAAAGCATCCTCTTAACCCATTTAAAAAAATGTCTTGGATGGTCGTTCCTTAACATTTGCCAGATATTTTTTTTTTACAGTGAAGTAAGATTGGAGGGTGTAGAGACTCTCGATTATCTTGACAACCTCCGCAACAGAGAACGCTTCACAGAGCAGGGTGATGCATTGACATTTGAATCTGAGGTACAGATAATTGCATTTGATCATATCTAGAGACAATAAGATGCATGCAAGTTTGGCCTCCTCCTCTAAACATTTAGACGTTTTTAAAAAAGGTGCAAACATTGAAACATATTAAGGAACCTTAAAAAATGTTCATTTAATCTCACTTATGTTCAATATTAAATGTATTTTAAAAGCATTTAAGGTTGGAACAGATAATATGGGCAAATTTAGAAAATTAGTACCAAGTAAAATGGGGCATTTCAGTTCCCCATTGGTCATAGTTATTAGGCTTGAATGAGTGATTTATTTGAAAGAGCAACTGGTAAAATCAATTTCAGTCAAATAAGCAAGTAAAAAATTGCATTTACTGTTTCGCTATAGGTGGACCGAGTTTATCTAAGTTGTTCAGATGTGATTGCTCTCTTTGATCATGAGAAGAAGCGGACTATCTTTATCAGGAAGCAAGGGCTGCCAGATGTAGGTAAAAACTCTAAAATTCTTATCTGAACAATTTCATCATATTCTCAAAAATGACTTGCCAAGTTCAGAGGCCGAAATGGCAACGGAAGCATCACAAAAGTCTCGGTTTGCAACTAGTTCCATATATGACTGCTAATAATATTATTTTGTGAAAACAGTTGTCTGGAATCCATGGGAAAAGAAATCAAGAACAATAGTTGATTTTGGAGATGAAGAGTACAAACAGATGGTGTGTGTGAATGGAGCAGCAATTGAGAAGCCAATCGTGTTGAAGCCAGGCGAGGAATGGACTGGACGTGTGGAGTTAGCCATTTCATTTACAACAATCTGATCACCATCAACTGTTATTTTGCTTGCAGTTAGCGTGTTTTATCACTTTTATGTATCTATCATTGCCATTGAGGTGATATTATGAGTGAAAATGGGATGTCTTTTAGTTGTGTTCCCTAGAATTCTTGTATCCATAAAAACTTTAATTCTTAAGCTGATGATTTTTTCGTTCTTTTTGAGTTGCAAGAACGAAATTAGGATTTAATACGGATTCAAAGACCAGAACAGAGAGGAACATTAAATTCAAGAAACAAATTTTTAAAGATCAAAAGAGATTATTTCGATCTGGGTTAAAATCGGTGGTTTATAATAATAAAAGAAAGGGATAAGGGTCAGATAGGGCCTCGAACTCGAAAAAAAATGTCAAATAAGGTCATATTTCGGATGCTCTGTCTGGCCGACGCCATTTGGGGCGGTTCCCGATGGAATTTTTTGATGAAATTTTTTGAGCATCTTCCTCATTAAGTCTAGTTTACCCATACCAAATTTCAGCTAAAAATTCAACCGGGAAGGTAGTCAAATAATTTTCCGAAATGTACGGCGTTGTTTAACTTCACAGTTATCTTCAAAAATTCATTTGACTACCTTCCCGGTTGAGTTTTTAGCTGAACTTTGGTATGGGTAAACTAGACTTAATGAGGAAGATGCTCAAAAAATTTCATCAAAAAATTCCATCGGGAACCGCCCCAAATGGCGTCGGCCAGACAGAGCATCCGAAATATGACCTTATTTGACATTTTTTTTCGAGTTCGAGGCCCTATCTGACCCTTATCCCTAAAAGAAAACACAAGTAAAAAGAAGAACAGGGAAGCCACTCATATCAGAGCCAGGTTTCGATCCTGGGACCTGTGGGTTATGGGCCCACCACGCTTCCGCTGCGCCACTCTGATTTGTTGAAATAACTTCCGGATGACAGTTATCTATAACAAAGAGTTACTACTAAAGCAAGTGGCGGAGACAATGACACATTCCGAAGCAGCCCGTCATTACTTCTGCATGTCGTATTAATTTTTTCGTTGATAGATTTTTTTTTTACTGCTTTTTTTCGTTGATAGATTAAAATACGTATTTAAATAAATTATCAACATTGCACATATATGTAATATAATCTTAGCCTAAAGTTAATTTATAAAACGTGATTTTTTTTTGGAAAAAAATCTGAAATTGTTTGAAATGCACTTCTAAGCACTTAAATTATAGGTTCAAAATTTTACATTTTAACTATTAGCCATAGGTAGGAGTACAGTCTTTTTATTCACAAAATAGGAGAATATATGTCCCACTTTCTATTCTACCCCTTTCTATAATGCCTAATCGATTTTTTTTTAATCATCAAAATAGGCCTCTATTCATATCAAAAGATTCATGAGCATTACATCAAGTAAAGGGAAAATAAAATTGACACCTACTGAAACTCCAACAACTACGACTGGAACCCTATGGTGAGACTTTGAGACGGTCACCCCTGAAAGAGCAATACGAATCGCTAACCATAGATTCTGTTCCCATAGATCCAACCATACCCAATAACATAAAGAGAGACTAAAACTCAATCAAATTGTCAAAACCAACAAAGATGAACACAAGAAAAACAAATGACAAACAGATAAAAATTACTAGGAAAACTTTCACGGACTCTAGCACCTCGTACAACCCATGGTGGTGGTTCAGGCGAAGGTCGGATCGTCGCTCGATTGATACCCTCTTTCAGTGGTGTACCCGCCGTATGACCCAAATTCATGCCATCGAGTGGAGTGTTTGGCCTCTCCACGCTAACCATGTTCTGATCATCCCTACATTTCTCTCTCGCTTCTTCCACCATCTTCTCGCTGCAACGATCATCCATCCCGAGCTATGTCCAAACCACGGCAATCCGGCACAGTGCTGCGTCGATTGAAAGAAACGCCGCACCACGGCGGCGAAGTAATCAGAAATTACCTAGCCGAACTTCACTAGGGAAACACTGACCGAACTTCGATCAAGAAATATCGAAATCGGAAATTACCTAGCGGCGATTCTAATTTATTTTAATAATAAGAAAATCATAATTTTATTTATAACAAAAATATAAAAGTAATAATAAAATATTTAAAAACCATGTAGACCTTTGTTGCAGCTTCTCCCACCTCCGGCACCACCAGCTTCGACCGTCGGGAAAAAATGCCACATTTCTTTGAAAATGTCATGAAGATGACATTTTTATTCTTTGGAAATATATCCAACTTTGCTTGTAAAACTGCAATCACGATGCCCTTTTTCAAGTTGGCATTTTTTACGGAGACCGGGGTGGCAGTGCTAGTAAGTGGCTGAGGTGGTTGTTGAGACTTGTAATTTTTTTATTTATGTTTTGCTTTTTTTTTCATCCTTTGCCATGGAGCCAAAGACTCATTATTTTTTTGGCTTAGGAATATGGTGGAATAAAACAAAATGGCTCACTAAATTGTCTGCGCTTCTTTGTTATGAAACTGTAGTCAGTCCATGCAATTTTGGACGCGATTTTCACTATGGGTCATCCGGAAACAGTCTCCCTGTACTTTAGTACAGTGGTAAGGCTGAGTACATCCGACCCCTCCTTACCCCACTGTAGGTGGGAGTCCTTTGCAACACTGGGGTAATGACGATGACGATGTTTTGCTTTTTTATTTTTCGATTTCATTTTTTTAATATGTTTTACTATGATTATTTTAAAAAATATTCTATTAAGCATGACAAGGGAAACACTAAGATAGGAAAAATTGGTCCCATTTTGCAATTTTGCTATAATGTACTCCTATTTCAGAAATTACTTTTTTTTTCTTATTTCACATCTAGCACAAACTTTATAATGTCACAATGGGACGGAGGTAATGTTATTTTATGTGTTCAATTTTATATTGGTAATCCACAAATTGTGTTTTAATTTGCAAGTATCTTAATACGAAGCATTGGACCTACAAAATGAAAATAATCATTGTATAAACCGAAGAAACTGTTTGTAAACCGATCTGAAATTTCCTGTTAAGATTTGGAATTTCATCCTAAAAGATCAATCTTGGTATGAGAAGTATCACTGATCTTAATATAGATATTCATTACTTCACAATTTTCCGGTGTGAGACTTCAACACCCCTTACTTACGATCAAACACATCATTTGGATCATGCCATCATTCATTTTTTTTCATTGATTCGTCATTGTCATTTTTGTAATCATCCTCATTTTTTAATAGAGTACCCTCACCAGATCAATTTGACTTTAATATCATGTTAAGATATGATGTTCCATCTTAAAAAGTCAATTTTATAGGAAGAGTAGCCTAAATCTTGATATAGATTTTATTACGGAGTACTTCACAATTTTCCGGTGTGAGACTTCAACACCGTTACTCATGACCAGACACTTTTCCATTAATGAATTGAATTCCAAAATCTGAATTTGATTATGACAAAAATTAGCACATGCAACTAAAAATTAAGAGGCCAATTCAAGGGTGGAACTAAGGGGATAGAAGTGCATGTGATGTGCAATGGGTGGCCCTCTCCCAACTAATAGGGAAAAGAGACCAAATACAAATTATACAAAATATGCAATTATGCAAAACATGAAAATTTACACAACACGCATGAATCTGCAAGCATGCCTGGTGTGTTTCTAACATTATGCATGGAAACAGAACATCGAAAAACACTGAAAATATGTATGCGGCAGGCAGCTTGAGTGTGTGAATCCAAGCATGTAAAAGCATCATGTTATGGACAAATGAACAAAGAAAACAATTGTTATAGTCCAAATGATGTTTAACTACCATCCGAATATGTCTATAACAGGGAAATACGGCATGTTGTGTTCCAAAATCCAAACTAGGTAGATATATACCGCATAGTAGCAGGTGGCTTTTGGCCCATCTGGTTTCTACTTTCCCTTGCTACTAGCTCAGCCCATCCAATCCATCTGAACTTGAAACAATAAAAAACTGAGAAATTGAGATTCTCGAGATATGCATTGTATGTTAGGTGGTTTAATATGTCCAAAAAACATGAAACAATACATTTGGAAGTTTATTCAGGGACGGGAGAGTAAGGATGTTTTTACTTGGACTGTAATTTGTTGGTCTGGTCTGGTCTGGTCTGATCTGGTCTGTTATGGTCTGAACTGGTCTGGTCTGGTCTGGTCTGGTCTGGTAAGGTCTGGTTTCTTTGTATTTTTATAACTATCCAAGTCTGGTCTGGTCTGGTCTGGTCTGAACTGGTCTGGTCTGGTCTGGTCTGGTCTGGGACAAATTACAGTCCAAGTAAAAACATCCTAAGACTTTTTACTTGCACCATTTTCGTATACAAAACAATAATTTTGGGAAAATAATGGTTTACCCTATTGGGTGCCATGAGGTTATATTTATACTAAAATAAGTTTAGGAAATTACATACTAATCCTTATACAATTACATTATTACACCCCCTCAATCTGTGCAGGAGAAACAACACGCAGATTGGAACATAAAAATTCAAAACGCTGACTAGATAAATTTTTGGTAAAAATATCAGCCAATTGCAACTGTGTGGGAATATACTTCACAACGAGATCCCCATGAGCCACCCTTTCGCGAACAAAATGATAATCAATCTTAATGTGTTTGCTCCGGTCATACTGAATAGGATTAACCACTAAGTAGGAGGCAGAAACATTATCACAGTGGAGTTGCACAGGTGCCGAAATATATATCCCCATGTCAGCTAATAGAGATCTGATAAAAAGTGTATCATGAACTGTATAAGCAATGACCCTCTATTCAGCTTCAGTGGAGGATTGCGAGACAGTGGGCTGCTTTTTGGACCGCCAAGAGATGAGATTGGATCCCAGAAAAACGGCATACCCAGTAGTGGAACGTGAGCTGTCAACACAAGAAAACAAATGACAAACGGATAAAAATTACTAGGAAAACGTTCACGGACTCTGTCACCTCGTACAACACATGGTGGTGGTTCAGGCGGAGGTCGGACCGTCGCTCGATTGATACCCTCTTTCAGTGGCGTACCCACCGTATGACCCAAATCCATGCCATCGAATGGAGCGTTCAGCCTCTCCACGCTAACTATGTCCCGTTCATCCCTACGTCTCTCTCTCGCTTCTTCCACCATCTTCTCGCTGCAACGATCATCCATCCCAAGTTACGTCCAAACCACGACAATCTGGCGCAGTGCTGCGTCGATTGAAAGAAACGCCGCACCAGGGCGACGAAGTAATCGGAAATTACCTAGCGGAACTTCTCTAGGGAAACACTGACCGAACTTCGATTAAGAAATATCGAAATCGGAAATTACCTAGCGGCGGTTCTAATTTATTTTAATAATAAGAAAATCATAATTTTATTTATAACAAAAATATAAAAGTAATAATAAAATATTTAAAAACCATGTAGGCCTTTGCTGCAGCTTCTCCCACCTTCCAGCACCACCAGCTTCGACCGTCGGGAAAAAATGCCACATTTCTTTGAAAATGTCATGAAGATGACATTTTTATTCTTTGGAAATATATCCAACTTTGCTTTTAAAACTGCAATCACGATGCCCCTTTTCAAGTTGGCATTTTTTACGGAGACCAGGGTGGTAGTGCTAGTAAGTGGCTGAGGTGGTTTTTGAAACTTGTAAATTTTTTATTTATGTTTTGCTTTTTTTTCCCCATCTTTTGCCATGGAGCGAAAGACTCATTATTTTTTGGCTAAGGAATATGGTAGAATAAAGCAAAATGGCTCACTAAACTGTTTGCGCTTCTTTGTTATGAAGCAACAGTCAGTCCATACAATTTTGGACGCGATTTTCACTATGGGTCATCCGGAAACAGTCTCCCTGTACTGTAGTACAGGGGTAAGGTTGCGTACATCCGACCCCTCCTTACCCCACTGTAGGTGGGAGTCCTTTGCAGCACTGGGGTAATGACGATGATGATGTTTTGCTTTTTTATTTTTCTATTTCATTTTTTTATATGTTTTACTATCATTATTTAAAAAAAAAATTCTATTAAGCATGACAAGGGAAACACTAAGATAGGAAGAATTGGTCCCATTTTGGGAATTGAAACTTTATACTCCTATTGTTGCAATTTTGCTATTATGTACTCCTATTTCAGAAATTACTTTTTTTTTCTTATTTCACATCTAGCACAAACTTTGTAATGTCCAATGGGACGGAGGTAATGTTATTTTATGTGTTCAATTTTATATTGGTAATCCACAAATTGTGTTTTAATTTGCAAGTATCTTAATACGAAGCATTGGACCTACAAAATGAAAATAATCATTGTATAAACCGAAGAAAGTGTGTGTAAACCGATCAGAAATTTCCTGTTAAGATTTGGGATTTCATCCTAAAAGATCAATCTTGGTAGGAGAAGTATCACAGATCTTAATATTGATCTTCATTACTTCACAATTTTCCGGTGTGGGACTTCAACATCCCTTACTTACAATCAAACACATCATTTCGATCATGCCAGCATTCATTTTTTTCATTGATTCGTCATTGCCATTTTTGTAATCATCCTCATTTTTTAATAGAGTACCCTCACCAGATCAATTTGACTTTAATATCATGTTAAAATATGAGGTTCCATCTTAAAAAGCCAATTTTATAGGAAGAGTAGCCTAAATCTTAATATAGATTTTATTACGGAGTACATCACAATTTTCCGGTGTGAGACTTCAAGTCTTCAACACCGCTACTCATGACCTGACACATTTCCATTAATGAATTGAATTCCAAATTCTGAATTTGATTATGACAAAATTTAGCACATATAACTAAAAATTAAGAGGTCAATTCAAGGGTGGAACTAAACGGATAGAAGTGTGTGTGCTGTGCATTGGGTGGCCCTCTCCCAACTAATAGGGAAAAGAGACCAAATACAAATGATACAAAATATGCAATTATGCAAAACATGAAAATTTACACAACACGCTTGAATCTGCAAGCATGCCTGGTGTGTTTCTAACATTATGCATGGAAACAGAACATCGAAAAACACTGAAAATATGTATGCGGCAGGCAGCGTGAGTGTGTGAATCCAAGCATGTAAAAGCATCATGTTATGGACAAATGAACAAAGAAAACAATTGTTATAGTACAAATGATGTTTAACTACCATCCGAATATGTCTATAACAGGGAAATACGGCATGTTGTGTTCCAAAATCCAAACTAGGTAGATATATACCGCATAGTAGCAGGTGGCTTTTGGCCCATCTGGTTTCCACTATCCCTAGCTATTAGCTCAGCCCATCCAATCCATCTGAACTTGAAACAATAAAAAATTGAGAAATTGAGATTCTCAAGATATGCACTGTATGTTAGGTTAGGGGTGGGATTTTGGAACCGGGAACCGTAGAACCGATCGGAATCGAACCGTTAACAACATCTAGGAACCGAACTGTTAACAATTAATACCTCATTTGTAGGAACCGAACCGAAACGGGTTATAACGGTTTGGTTCCCGGTTCCTATAAAAAATATGTGCATGGAACCGTTAAGGAACCGTTATTAAAAAAATATTAGTAGTAGTAGCAATAATAATAATAATATAATAGTAATAATAACCACCACCACAACAACAATAATAAAATAAAATAATATAAGATATTTAACTAACAATTTTAATTTAATCAACGAAAACGAAGTGATAAATATTGTACATGAGGTTGATATAATACATTAAACTCCTTTCTACAAATCGTGTTTTGTTCCATCACATAAATTTTATAAATATAAAATAACCCATATAACTTGTAGTTGATTGCACATATTTGAATTTACTATTTTAATGATATTTCTAATTATTAGATTTATTATGTATCAATAGAATGTAATAATGTTTTTTTATATCTATATATGCGAACTCAATGTATTTTTTTATGTTTAGAAAGACTTGAAGTAGACGTCATATTCTTGCTACTATGATGACGAGTAACCTTCATCGCACCCAACTATGATTTTTATGTTTTATTTAATACATGAAAATTTAAATCATCTTTTGTTATATTAAGCGTTCACAGTTCATTAGTTAAGTTTGAGCTTTGATGTTTGAAGTGATTAGAGCTTCAAATAAAATTTTAATACTCGTGTTTTGAGTTTTCGACGTGTTTATGTTGTTTGTAGAAAGTAAATTATGTATTAATTCTTAGATGAGAAAAAATTATCCTAGGAACCAGTAAAAGGAAGAACCGAACCGTTTACTACCGGTTCGGTTCCATAACGGTTCTTGATTTTTTATATAGGAATCGAATCGATTTTCATTAGTTAAAACTTTTATAACGGTTCCACTCATTTTGAGTAAGAACCGAACCGGTCCCAGCCCTATGTTAGGTGGTTTAATATGTCCAAAAAATATGAAACAATACATTTGGAAGTTTAATATGTCCCAGACCAAGCCGGACTTAAACAGACCAGATTAGATCAGATCAGATCAGACCAGACTTAATCAGACCAGACCAGACCAGACCAGACCAGACTTGACTTCCGTAGTTTGTAAAATACACAAAGACCAGACATTTACTAGACCAGACCAGACCAAACCAAATCAGACCAGACTTGACTTCCGTAGTTATAAAATACATAGAGACCATATGTTTACCAGACCAGACCAGACTTAAGCAGACCAGACCAGACTTGACTTATGTAGTTATAGAATACACGGAGACCAGACGTTTACCAGACCAGATCAAACCAATTCATATTAGACCAGACCAGACTTAAACAGACCAAACCAGCAAATTACACTCCAAGGATGTTTTTACTTGGACTGTAATTTGTTGGTCTGGTCTGGACTGGTCTGGTTCCTTTGTATTTTTATAACTATCTAAGTCTGGTCGTCTGACATGGTCTGGTCTGATCTGATCTGGGACGAATTATAGTCTAAGTAAAAACATCCCAAGTAAAAACATTTGTACTCCCTCCGTCCCTTAAAACTTGGCCAAGTTTGACCAGCACGAGGATTAATAAAGTAAAAACTGTGTGGTTGAGATTTGTACAGAGGAGAAAGAATTAATGGGAATCACAAATTCTTTATTGAAAATGGAAATTAAAGTGGCAAGTTAATGAGACAACCAAACAAAGAAAGTTGACAAAGTTTTAATGGATGAATGAAGTAATATATATATCCTCAATTACATGATCAATATTATAATATTAAATATCAATTAAATACTACTTTAATCACCTTTTTGGATTAATTGTTAGCTATTTGTTATAATTCAATAGATTAAGCAATTCAACCACTTTAACTAGAATTTTATCAATTTTGGCAGAATTGGACGATTTGGTCAACTTCACATATTATCAGGCACACCCTTAATCTTATTTGAATTATTATTGTATATGATATAATGCCTTTTGACATTTTTGGTACATGTTAGGATGCATTCACGCAACACACGTGGTGCCTACACATGTTGATTCTTCCTCATACATGTGGTTTCTTGTGGAGGCAATATCTTATTAACATACTATCAATTCACTTATATATCATTCGTTATGGTAAATACTACTCCGTAGTACTTCGTATTTATTTGTTTATTTATTTCACATTTTCACATTCATTTCTATTTTATACAATTCCTGGGTTGAAATGTAACTTAAGTCTTGTAATGTACACATTTCCTGTACACATTTCCTGTTTAAATTCTTTTGAAAATTGAATCGAAATTCTTTTAATCCGAGTACTAGTTGTTTAGAACTTATATTTTCAAAGAAAGGATCACTTTGAACTTCCAATAGGCAGTATTAGTGCAATGCGTAGTCCAACTTTCAAGGGGCTGGAAACAACAGACGTAGTACGAAGTATAAATTACTACGGAGTATTAATTAAAAGAATTTCAATTCAGAAATCGAAAGATGCATTCAAAATCAACAACGGGGCTGAAAGATAAAATATGTCGACATAGGACTTCAACAAGGGCATTCAAAATCAACAACGGGGCTGAAAGATAAAATATGTCGACATAGGACTTCAACAGGGGCGGAGGTATGTAGTTGCTTCTAGGGGGCCATGGCCCCTCCCACATTTTTTTAATATTATAATAAATAAATTATTTGGGCCCCTCCCAAATAATAAATAACTTTTATATTTTAAATTTCATATTTATGAGAGATTTAATTTAGTCATGTATTTTTGACAATTCTCATTATTAGTCTTGTAACTTTACTCGCATGCTGATTAGTCTTGTAACTTTACAGTTTAAGAATTTTTGCACCGGAAAGTACACTTTTTGGCAAAAAATTCAACATTGGCGGCATATTTTGCGGTGAATTATCGGTAGGAAAGTGTGCTTTCCTGTGTAATTACATGCATGATCTAATTCACGAGCAAGTGAAGTATCTTTTGTTAGTTTATTCGCGTATAATTCACGTATAGTACACTCAAACGTATAATACTCCTGTTATGAATTTTTCAAGAAAAATTCACGTATTTTAAGGATAAATGTATAATACACGTACTATACGTATGAATACGTATTTTATTCAAAAAGCGCACTATTAAACTGAACCCTGTTGGAGTGATACAATTGAAGCAAAATGTCTAGTGGCTCAATACTATTTATATTGCTTAAAAAATTATTATGCCTTATATGTTCATTAATTATTTAATAATCAATAGATTTAATAAATTAGTTCCGTAATGTCATAATCCGTTTCAATATTACCATTGCATTATTATTGTATTACTTGTGTGCTCCACCCAGTGTCGATCCTACCTAAACTCGAGCCTGAGTCGAAACTTCATAAAAAGGCCCCTATAAATTGCAATATTATGCAGTATAATTTATTTTGAAGTTAAAGATCAAACATCACAAAATAAATATTTTAATAAAATTCATACATTATATAATATAAGAATACCAAAAGTATTTAAAAAAAACTAAATAAGTACAACCTATGACCTATGGGATAATATTAGCCGCAAATGTATTAGTTAATTAAGTCGGCATAATCGTGTAGTCTAAAAAATTCCTTCTCAATTTATAAAATGGTTAATCCATTCAATCTATATTGAAATTCCTTCTCACGTACATCCACAGGTAAATAAAAATATAATTTATCGAAATCATATACTATCCGATCCATATGTGATAATATTAGTTTTGTTGACATATAATAAAATTAGTTAAGTAAATGTGCTAAATAATACATTTTTGTTAGTAAATTAGAGATCATAAACTATTTAAGATTTAAATCTTAAATATAAAAACTGAAATTGTTTAATTCTGCATCTTAAATCGTTTAAATATCCCAAATTAAGCTTAAACTTAATTTTCAGAACATAGGTTTAGATTAGAAAAGCTGAAACTGTTGAATTCTGCATCTTAATCAATCAATGGCATCTCAAATCAACCAGTCCGTATACCGTGCAACCGGAGCATGGTGAGCACCATGCTCCACACCCCAAAACGACGTAGTTTTGATCAATTTTAATAATAAAAAAACGCGTGAATAATACACGCGTGTACAACATTTTTTTTCATCCCGGTAGCATGGATGATGTAACTTGCGTATAAAGATATGTAACTCGCGTTATTGATCAATGTAACTCAACCCCATCCAGAATGTAACCTGTCAAATATTGATTTTAATGTAAACAATGAAAAAGAGAGTCTAATTGCACAATTGCTTTAGGTAAAACGTGAATATGCTTTGTTTTTAATATCATGGCCATAAAAAATAATTTTTTAGAAAAGATCCTTTTTTGTTTCAATAGCAGGGGTTGATTTTTTTTAATATAACTCGTGTTATTACAAATGTAACTTGCGTTGATAACAAATGTAACTTAGAGGTATACTGAATGTAACTTGTTGGAGAATTCAACAATGATTTTTTTGTGTTTGAGAATATGTTTTATATATTTTTAATATTAGGGCTATAAAAATGACATAGTTTTTTTTATGGTAAAAATGATATAGTTAAAAAACCATTTTTTAAATCTTTAGCAGAGTTTATTTCATAGTGTAACTCACATACCTTAAAATGTAACTCGTGTACATTAAGAAGTAAGTTGAGTGTGTGCAAGATGTAAGTCGAGTGTGTCAAAGATAATTTATTGCGGTCATCTTCTCAACTTGTAACAACCTAAAGCTTGACCCACTCACTAAGGTAAGACATCAATGATTTCGGCCATTTAATTTGACTCCTCAAAGTCTCGGGGAGCTTTCCAATTGGAGGCAGAGTCTGATCAAAGGTTTGTGCGCAGATCAAAGGTTGAAGAGCAAAGAATTGGAATCTGATTAAGTGCAAGCCTCCAATCGG